TCTACAGCTCGTATGATAACAAGTTCGACTTCAGTTGTCTACCAGTATTTAAATCCAGGAGCTAAAGTCTAGAAGTGTCACATCGGATATCACATGTGAGTGTTCTAATAATAAAATAAATTATACAAGTCATCAGTAATCCACGAGACGAATTTATTAAGCCTAATTAATCTGTCATTAGCACATGTTACTGTAGCACTATATTGTCATATTATAGACTAATTAGGTTTAAAAAATTCGTCTCACAAATTCGTCTTAATCTATGCATTTAGTTTCATAATTAGTATATATTTAATACATTTGGATATCCGAGCCGCCACAAGTGCGGCCTGTCAAAATCGGCATACCAGACCAGGCACGCAGGATGCCGTCGCTGCGCCCCGGCCGGCCCATCTCACACGCGCACAGTCACAGGCGCACAGTACCGCACTAGCACGCGGGGGCCCGGCACGGCGCCCAGAGGCGGCCCACGTGCGCCAGCGACCCACCCCGCGCACAGTCACCGGCGGTAAGCGTCAGCAACAGTGCCAGCTGGGAGCAGCAGCAGCATCGGCTGGGCGGCCCCCTCTTTGTGACACAGCGCTGGCCGTGCTCGCTGCTCTGTTGATCCCCGTCCGTCTCCCACCGTCGCCGTCGCGTCTCTGTAGCTCAGGCTTGGCCAGCGCGCCCGGCCCCGCGCCGGTACACCACCAGCCCAGGCGGCCAGGCCCGGCGGCAACCGCAAGATTCCGTGCTGGGTGCGTGCTGCTGCCCTGGGCGGTGTACACGACGTCACGCAGATGGGAAAGGAAACACGGTGGGTTCCCGAATACGACGCGCGCATGCCGCATGGGCGCTCGCGCTCCTGACTCCCGAGGACACTGAGGTGATCGGTGAGAGCTGGCTGGGGCACCTGGCAGCGGAGGCGCGACGGCGAGGAAGGAAGCAACGGGATCACGGAGGCTAGCATATCAAAGCTCGTGGTACCATGCCACTGTACGACGGCGTCCAGTCCAGGTACTGTAGGCGAAGCATGACCCAGCTGGTGATCGACCGAGAAAAGAAAAATCAGAATCGACTACTGGCCGTCGAAACAGTTCTCTCACACGCACTGGTTCTTGGCACAACAAAACTGCTGAGGTAACAACAGGGGCTAGCAACGAACACTAATAAGAGAGTACGTAGGTTAGGCGACTGTGAATCGCCAAGTCCCAAATGGATTTGTTGCTGGCTCAAGCATGATCCGAGTACGGGAGACCGGCCCATTGTCGGAGCCGAAAACGACTCGAGGGACAAAAGGCGAAGGACACAACTGCCAAAAACCAGTGCTTGTTGTGTCGCCGATCCTTAGACACACTGCCGGCGAGCGAGTACCACTGCTTTTTTTTTCTGCTCCTGATGACCTGATCGAATCATTTCTTTCGGAAAAATCATCACACCGCTGCCGAGCACATGAGTGAGTAGTACTGGTACTGCATGACTTGTGCGCTTCTGTATTTACAGAGATGCATGAGAGATCGGGTAACTGATACACTCGCCTTTGTGCAGACAGTCATTATGGGACCTATTAGCTGTATCAGTAGTACTAGTAGTACAGTACAGGGCATGGCTTTGCAGATTGCAGCAGCTAAGCAAGGACAGCCACCGTTGCTAGCTGGATCTCCAGCGAATGACTTCGATCCGTGGTTCTGTACTTCCGTCACAGTTTAATCTGCCATCCATGTCCTAATTAAATTCTTTAATCCCTCCTACTGTTCTAATTATCCTGTACATATGGTCCTGCACTTTGTTTACCTGCACGAATGCACTCATGTGTACTTCAAAGCTCTTGTATAGTGCTCGAACGTGCTTCTCAGCTTGAATATTAGAGTATATTTAGATGTCAAGGCTAAAGGTTAGTTCTAAATCATCCAAACATGTGAACTAATGGTTATATAATTTTTTAGTCCATGAACTAACTTCTCAGTTTGAATATTATTATTAGGGTATATACTTTTTTATATAAGGATTTTTTTTGAAACAATTTTTTTATATAAGGATTACTAGGGTATACCGGATATCAAGGGTAAAGTTTAGTTCTAAATCATCCAAACACGTGAACTAATGGTTACATTTTTAGTCAAGATCGTAACTAAGAGTTTATTTAGATTATTTGGACTATTTTTTCCGTTCAGTCAAAGCATAGGTGAAAATTAAGATGACTATAGTTTAGTTTTGTGATGTTCGAATATACGGATGAACTACCGAGAAAGTCATTTGACCTTTTAGTCACATATTTGAATGGCGGATGGCCAAGGTCAAATGTTAGGTGACTAAAATTTAGTTCAATGGAGTACAAGCTAACAAACCTATCAAAAAAAAAGAGAGTACAAGCTAACAACTACTTACACGGAGTACTCCACCGTTCGGCTGATCACAAAAGTCAGCTTGTTCGGCCTTATTTTTTCAGCTAGAACAGTATTTTTCTTTCACAACAATTCAGTTGGAACGGTATTTTCAGCCAAATTCAGTCCAACGAACGAGGCCAAAGAGATGACCAGACATATACTAAATCACCGTGAACTTTTTTTTTTAAACGATCAAGGCATCGTCGTGCACTTCAGTCTTCAGATTCAGCGATTCAAGCATTCAAAGAGGCAAGTTCCAACGACGTAGATCTCGCTGCGAGCACCAAGCCCCATACCAATCAGTTGGAGCATTTTGAGGCAAATCCAAAGCTCGCTGCCGAGAACTTTTGAACCCTAAATAAAAGAGCTCCCGCGCGCTGAAAAGAGATTCTAACACCAATCCGAACACGCCAAGACATGCTCTGACCCGGGGCGAAACCAGCGGTTAAACTATGGCAAGAGACGTCTTGTCCAGCTCAAAAGCGGGAGGCTAGAGGCCAAGAACGTCCATCGCCCCATGCCCCCACCACCCTTCGTTTTGTTATGTCTCACCGAAGACTGCGCTAATGGTACCTGCTTTGTATTTTCTGTGGAGGCAGCTACGTGCACAACCGCACATGGAGGAATACCAGCGCTATGGAAGAAGCCAGAGGCTGCAAAAATTCATTGTGCAATTTCAGTTTCAAATTTAAAATCCAATCGATCAAATACAAATAGTATGTACTGGTTGGTGCTAATTAAGAGGCTTCGTCTTTTTGTTTGTTTTGTCTTGTTTGGTGGTCGTCGTTGGAACTTGCTCCTTATTTATTTATACACGCCTGACACGTGACAAACCTCTCCTTAATCTAAAAAATATATATAATTCATGATTAAGGTTTAAAAGCTATCAGTGACACAATTTTAAGTGAATATATCTACAAATGTCTATCGTAAAGGATAAGAGGGAAGAACTTAAATGCTTTTGACTAAACCAAAAGTGCATCTTATTTAAGATAAAAATAGAGTTTTTCAAATAAAAAGAAGTATAAACATTTGAATTGTAAACTAAATCATTAGGCTGAAATACTTGCCTATAGTAGGAATTGATTAAAATGGCACGAACTGACCAATTACATAGTTTTACGTATGCAGTCATATCTTCGAAGAGATGTTTCTATATTTTCTTTTAATATATTAAGTACAAGTGTACAGCCAAATAATCATATGATGTAAAGTTTAAGGAAGGTACGTTCGTACTCATTAGATTAAAAGTCGTGATAAAACCTATATCTAAGTCTTACAATAAGATCCACGAGCATGGTCCTTGATGCCATTGAATACCTTACTAGCCCTCTAGCCAGAATAAAAAGGCAGAACTACTGTACTCTATCATCACGTTAGACCAAATGCTAATTGGAGAGCCCCTCGTCCACCGCAAACTGTAATAGCACTGTAAAATATACCGCGGCTGAGACACAGCAGCCCCCTCTCGCCTCCTCAATAATAGGAGGCAGCGTTCACGGCCTTGCCGGACCCGCCACCACCACCCGCCATCAATAGTGCACCACGCCGCTGTGCAAAGTGAGCAGTGGCAGCTGCTGGCGCCGGCCAATGGCCATGCGTGCACGAGCGCGCCTGCCTCCGCTGGCCTGTTGCTCTGTTCCTTCTCCGGCCCGGTTGATAGACTTGACTTGATCGCACGTACGCCTCCGTGCTGGTGCGGGTTGCGGTGTGGTGTGGACGTAGTAGCAAGCAAGGTGCGGGCGCGGGGCGAGGAGGCCCCTGGCCCGGCCCTGACCCTGAGTAGCGCTCGGACGCAGCACGGGCAGCGGGCAGGCGCGGCTAGCTACGCTACACTACACATCGACCGGTCACAGCCACCACAGAACAGCGCTGCATGCCACAGTGCTGGCTGCAGCCTGCCGCTGCCGGTGCGCTGTTCATACTACAGGCCGAGGCCGGGCCGGCTACTGTTGCGCGCCACCGTCCGCGTCAGCATCGACGACGGGCCCTCCCACCGCAGTCCCCTGTGGTGTGCGCTGTGCCTACTGCCTGTGCGCGCGCGCGTGATGGGATCGCCGGAGGCAGCCACTGTGCGCTGTGCGCGTGATCGGGGAAGCGAACGGGCGGGGTTTGGGGCGGACGGACTTTTCCACCCCAACACGCGCGCAGCCAGCAAGGAAACCAAACCAAAGCGAGCAAGCAGTAGGAGGCGCGTAGCCGCGTGGAACAGTAGGAGCGGCGCGAGAAAAGAGGAGCTTGGTGCCGCGGGTGCGGTGGTAGCAGTGGCGGCCGAGCTAGCAGCAGGCTGCTGCGACTGAGCCGAGTGGGAGTGCGTGTACTACGCTGGTGACTGGTGAGGTGAAGGGGGAGGGAGGAAAGGGACGGCAGCAGCAGCAGTGCACACAGGCGCACACGCGCGCACACTGCACCACACACGCCACAAGCGTTATTTTAAGGGCGGCGCCACCACTGTTGTCGCCGCCCTCCACACTGCCTCCTCCTCCTACCCTCGTTGAAGCTCTCTCTCGCGCTTCCCTCCCACTCCCACTGGACAGAGAGGAGGGTCAGTGGAGGGCGGGCTAGCTAGGAAGCTACGCCGCCACAGACGAGAAGCTAGCGTTCGGGCCAGGGAAAGCACGGAAGCGGGTGGCAATGGCGACCGGCGGCAGCGGTGGCGCCGGGAGCGATGACGTCCACGGGCTCACGTTTGGCAAGAAGATCTACTTCGAGCAGGACGCGGCTGCCGCCGCCGGCGGGAGCGCGACGGCGGCGGCGGCGGCGGGCGGCAGGAAGGGGAAGGGCGTGGCCACTGGTGGTGGCGCGGCGGGGGGCAGGCCGGCGTCCGCCAGCGCCGCCTCTGCCACCCAGCCGCCAAGGTGCCAGGTGGATGGGTGCGGCGTGGATCTGAGCGCCGTCAAGCAGTACTACTGCCGCCACAAGGTGTGCTACATGCACTCCAAGGAGCCGCGCGTCGTCGTCGCCGGCATCGAGCAGCGCTTCTGCCAACAGTGCAGCAGGTAAAAATTTCCAACTACTACTGTTAGTAGGCATTCTCCTTCCGTCTCCTAGTACCAGCCCAAATTGGGTACCCAAAAATTGTGCATTCCTGTGAGCACTGATTGGACCAGCTGCTTCGGTCTACTATTCCGCTCGTGATACAGTACCTTGGCAACTACAGGCTCGTCACTCTGCAGTTGGCTCATCTCACTCACTTTAACTGAAAAACCACGGTTTCTGACGATTTCCAAGCATCCAACTCTCTTTAACAGTCTTCAGTCTTCACTGACAAGTTCACAAATTCTGCTTCTATGCGCATGCGTTCAGCGTTCGTTGTAACATAACATCCAGTCATCCATTAGTTCCGTTGGTGCACAATTGTTTGGTGGGCGTCAAGTTGGTGTATAAATTTTGGGCAAGTGGAATCTGACAAGAATAGTAAGGGACATACGGAGTAGATGTGAACATTCACAGTATCTTGTCTGAGCAGCACATAAATAGGAAGCCTAGATTTATCTTTTTCTTATTCTACTGTAGGTAGCCTATGTGAATGGCTATTGGCTAGTACAGTACCTGTACGACACTATTTAAAGGCCTAAATGAAATGGAACAGGAGTTGGATATGAAACAAACAGGGCTGGAACAAACAAATATAAATGGAAATGGAATGAACTCAGCTGAGTAGCTGTGCTGAACTGCTGATGCTGAAATTATTTCTAAGTTCATCACGTATGGTCCATGCTTGTAGGTTGATAACGGTGCTTTTGCTTAACTTTATTTAATCTAAATCTGCATCATGTGTACAGTGTAAGGCTACACGCGCATATCATAGTCATAGCCCTAAATGGTGTCGCTTTGTTGCATCTTGATGAACTCTTTGGGGAGGGGGGCAAGTGCTGTACTCACATTGTCTGTAGCCTTTTGCATCACCGGTAAAGAGAAGGTTCTGACCGTTCATTGATAGATAAACCTCTTGTTTCATTGATAAACACATCACTTTACAAAGGCTCTATACGCGTGTCCGCTCCCCGTGAATGATTGCAGGTGCTCTTCCCACATGGTATAACCTTTTAAATCTTTTTCATGGGGCCCTGATGTGTGGATCTAATCATGAAAGCTGTGTCTTTGGTTAATGTCGCTATATATAGTTTGAAATAAAAATGTTAGTTCAGGAGGATTAGAAAAAACACACATGCTGCTTGTATCGATGCAGCTTTTCACATGACATCTGGTTTGCTTTGTATGTTTGTTCATCTGATGAGTCTTAATTACCGAGTTAACAATTCCCTCTTTCCATGTGCTAGAATAAAATAGTTTTCTACACTACTGTTGATCCGTGGATATTCCTTAGTCAGTTTTTTTTGTTATGTAAGACTAATTATTATCTTGTGCAATCTCCTTGCTGATGATACATTATAATTGGTCTTATTTATTCCGTTATATTCATGACATTATTCCGTTATAACTGGTCTGATTTATAGATGCTACCTATTTTCCCAACAATTTTTTTGAGTGACTGCACTAGCCGTTGACCTACTACTATAGGTTGTCTTGTGACCCTGCTTTGATCAGTAAACTCACATGTTAAGTCTGTACTGTGAGTAAACCTATTCACTCTAATCACAGGTTCCACCAGTTACCTGAATTCGACCAAGGGAAACGTAGCTGCCGCCGACGCCTCATTGGTCACAATGAGCGCCGTAGGAAGCCACCACCTGGACCTCTCACTTCACGATATGGCCGGCTTGCTGCATCATTTCAAGGTATCAAGTGTTGCTGCATCATGTTGTGTAGAGTTGTAGACATGCATACTCAGCTATTTCCAAATGCATATGCCAATCCGCTGTTTCTCGAATCTATTGTTTCTTCAGAGCCTGGTAGGTTCAGAAGCTTCCTGCTCGACTTCTCGTACCCAAGGGTTCCAAGCAGCGTGAGAGATGCGTGGCAAGGAGGTCAGCCCGGCGGTGACAGGATGCTGGGTGCCATCCAGTGGCATGGGTACCAAGAACCTCACCCACACCGCAGTGCAGCTGCGGGCTATGGCAACCATGCATACAACTGCCATGGTGGCTTGGTGGCAGGGGCCTCAATGCTCCCCTCTGCTTTTGAGCTCCCGTCTGGCGGATGTGTTGCAGGAGTTACCACCGACTCCAGCTGTGCTCTCTCTCTTCTGTCAACTCAGCCATGGGATACAACCTCCCAAAGTGGCAGCCACAACCGGTCCCCAGCAATGTCCGCCGCGGCCAGCGCCTTCGAAGGCACCCCGGTGGCGCCGTCCGTCATGGCAAGCAGCTACACGGCGTCAAGCACCTGGACGGGTTCACGGGACCCCGCCGACGGCGCCAGGAACGCGCAGCATCACGACGATGCTCTGCAGCTGGTCCATCCAGGCCCGGTCCACCACGGCCACTTCTCCGGCGAGCTCGAGCTCGCCCTGCAGGGAAGCGGGCTGCCGCCGCCGCCAAACCTGCCGCACGTCGACCATGGCAGCTCCAGCGGCACCTTCAGCCATTCCACCACCAACGCAATGAATTGGTCCCTGTAGGGACACAACTGTTCCCAGTACTGCCTTCTTCATCCGGTCGTCAGTCGTCACGCCACGAGACAATGGAGCACTTGGGCACCCTGGTTTTGTGCGCCTTACGTTGCCGTTCTGGTTTTTTTTTTCAGGGTGGAACTGGGATTCCTAACCATAGACCGTGAGTTCCCTTCCGTGTCGCCCATTGCGTCCATGAACTCGGTCCAACACCTGATTTGATGATCCTATAATTGTAGAACTCCTGTAACCTAAATTATTATTTAGTTATTATGAAGATGCATGTCAAGTGACCTTTTTTTATCCATCATCCTCATGTCGTTGCTTAGTTTGGAACTCAATGTCTGCTTTGATCAATCATCGTGTATTCGTATTCGTATCTGTTTGTAAAATTTTTCAGGCTGCCAGATTTGTTGTTTTATGAGCTGGACCTGATTTATGTCGCGGCTGTGATTTGTGAAATGTGAAATGTGGTGGCCGCGCTCTCGGTGGACATGTACCGCCGCCGGCGCGCCCTCGACCACCGGAGCATAGCCCTCGAGTTCGCACAGCGGCGCAAGGTGGCGGTGGGCCTGGAGGAGGACGAGCTGTGCCGGTCGGTGCAGGCCGCCATGGACACCCAGGTGATCGGCTCGTGCGCCTACTGCGGCTGCAACTTCTCCGTCGTGGCCGCCGTGGACGTGGCGGGCATGGGCATGGTCTGCGGCGTCTGTGGCCGGCTGCTCCGAGTGTACAACCCGGTGCCGCTGGTCCGCGATCCCCCGGCGGACGCGGAGGAGAGGTGGAAGGGCTGGCTACCATGATAGGCGGTCAGCTATCAAGGGCGCGTACGCGATTTTTTGATAACCAGCGGAGACACGTAGCACTGTTCTCACACGTCTGCTAGACTGCCCTTTTTTGTTTTCAATATACTCTTCTCGCCATTGTATTCGCGATAGGCAGAACTTCCTTAACCATGGTAAGGTCCATTGTCAGTATCAAACATGTTAGATTTATTTGTAATCATCGGCGATGACTCTAAATGTTATCTGTAGTCGGCCTCTTTAACCTCACAGAGTATATACAAATAACAAAGTTTAAATTTGTTCCCTCAACACCTAAGCACTATTAAAATAACTTCCGGTTTCGAGTTAAATTTTTCAGAAACGCTTATTTTACATTATAATGAATCTCTAGTAGTAATTCATGTAACTTTTGAACAACTTTTTGTACAATATAAAATATTTCTGAAATATATGCATTATGGATTTAATTTAATTATATATATAGGTCTCATGGTAAAGAAGCAGTGGCGCAAACAAAACAATAAACAAATTCGTATGAAAAAGTTATCATATTTTTTTAAGCTCTTGCCGGGACGTGCGCAGGCCACGCGTAGTGCTGGGCTAGCAAGGACGAATTTGCGCTTTGGAGAAAACATTGTCTGAATTTAGGAGGGCAATCAAATGATTCCATTCCGGGTTGCAAGTGGGCTTTGGGTTCCTTGGATTTAGTAGTTTACAAGCCCACAAGGCCTACTCAGGGCCTGTTAGGTTTCACGTTAAAGTTTAGCTACTAAAATCATAATCATCGACTAAACTTTAGTCACTCCTGTTTAGTTCTAGTGACTAAAAGTCATTAAAGCAGTTCAACGAAGACCAAACTACTCCTAATGAATGCTCAAATAAAGGTGGAGGATCGGCAAAAATAAGGGTTAGCCTTTGTCCATTGGGCACTTTAATCCACTTTTAATTACTCTTGGATAACTAATATACGTAAACTATTTTAGTCCATTTTTACTCAGTTTATTTTGTTATTTAGTAGCTAAAGTGACTCGTGGCGCGCGCGAGGTGTTCGCCTCCGTGCGTTCTCGCGCGCGCTGGGCTGTGGGCACCATTCCCTTCACGGCGCTTCCTGTTTCCGGGGTGGAGGTTATAGCGCAGCCTCACTGACACGCGTGCTGCTCCTCTGCTTCTTTGTTTCCAGGACCGGCTGAGCCTATGGCGAGTGCACGGGATCCATGGTCGAACATCCCTGTGGATCTCGCGGGCCTCGCTCTCAAGCGGCTTCCCGCCCACGTCGACCGCATCCGCTTCGCAGCCGTGTGCCCCCAGTGGCGCTCCGCTGCTCGGCAGGTCCGGCTGCCCCTCCTCCACTGCCGCTGCTCGCCCTCAAGGCCGGGGACATCTTCTACAGCATGCCCCGGGGTGAGCCACTCCACTTTGCTGGCTGCAACGGCTTTGACACAGCTTGTGGTAACTGGCTGGTGTACCGGCGCGTCTGCGACTTGCTCTTGGTGGATCCCTTCTCTGGTGCCACCATGACCCTTCCTGCACAATCTAGCGTTCATCTCGCCGACGAAGACGAGGGTGAGGATTCCAGGGACGGTCATGATTCCGCAGACGATGGTGAGGATTCTGAAGGTGGCCATGATTCTGCAGACGATGGTGATGATTCTGAGGATAGTTCTGTTTACACCGACATATCAGTGAAGCTGTTAATGGACGTGAAATACTCTGACGTGATCAAACTAATGGTGTGCTCGCCCAACCTCATTGCTGCACTGTTCCAAGGTAGGGAATCCAATCGAATTGCAGTGTGCCGGCCAGGAGGCTACATGTGGTCAGTTGCAGGGGACCTGTCTTTGTGGATTACTACCATGGCTTTCTACCAAGGGAAGCTCTACCTTGTTGACTATCATGAGGACCTCTTGGCTCTGGACATCAGCGTGGATGACAATACTGGTGATCCACGGGTTGCACGGATTGGACGGGTCATCAATGTCAGTCACTTTGATGATCAGCGGACCTTGTTGAGCATGCTCTACCTGGTTGAGTCGTGTGGCTCATTGCTGCTGGTGCGTAGAAGGATTTTCCATACGCACGTTCATGGCGAAGGACAGAGACACACTTTTGCTGGACAGTGTGAGCCTGACCTTTCGATATTCGAGGCAGACTTTGTGCGATCACAGTGGGCCAAGGTGACGACCCTCGCTGACAATCAGGCACTGTTTCTAGGGCCACGCTCCAGGGCTGTTTGCATGCCTCAGGGTGACTCACCGGGCAATTGCATGTGGTTCTTGGATGACTACAAGGACTTTCACCGTTGGAATGAGTGGCCTAGCAGCTTGAGTGACACCAGCAGCGTGGCAAACCCCGAGCCTTTCTCGCCTCTGCCAATGATCTCGTGGGAGGACTACCTTGGAAATGCAGGTGCTGCATGGCTCTTCCCTTCAAACTGATGCTGTTGGTTGGACCATTGTTACAATCAAAGATGTCAAACGCACCATGTGTTTCTCTGACCGTAGTATGGTGACCTTTTGGCATTCGCAATGCTAACTTACTTTTGGATGATTATGTTGTGCTTAACTTTGTGGACTTGTGATGGGAACCTTGTGGTAGCATTCTGTTAGTTGCTAGTAACCTATTCTGTTAAGCGTTTAGATGGGGGAAGTCATCACAATGGTGCCGTTTGATCTCTGAATGCTGTTATCTATCTTCAATCTTTTGTCGAGGAGCAGTACTTTGGTAGGTTTGTAGGTTTCTTGCTATGCTGTTTTAGATTTAAGCCATGGTCCCTGTGGGAACTAAGGCTAAACCATTTGTTGTGTGCATCCCGTGGCACTTGCAAACTTGAAGTGAGATGTTTCTGTTGAGATGGATGGTGTTTCTGGAAGGGGAGGATTGATGCTCTCATCACATGTTTCCCAAGGAACATGAACAAGTTATAATTATGTAAGTTGACCTCTATAAATTATCACTCGCATGACTGAATGAGACTGTCATATGCATCCGTTAGTTTCATTATGCCTGTAGTCATGTACTGTATCATTGGTTCCAAAAATGCCAGAGAAACATTGGTCGCCGCATTAGATGCTCACCTTGAAGTTGAGGCTGTTGTTATTATCCCCTTGTGGAAGTTATTGCTCCAGGTAAGTCATCTCAAGTTTGAATAACGGAAGCTGCTAGGTGTATCATCAGACTATCAGTACTTGTCTGATCGTAGTATTGTGCGTATCTGTAATGCTGACTGGGAGTTGATTGCCATGGCCGGTTTGTCAACTCGGGGATAGTTTCTCAAATTTAGGATACTTACTGATTTAGAATAGTTAGGTTAGTGAATTTATTTATAATTTACGTAGGTAGTTTTTAGGTTTGAGGTTGTGTGTTCTAGTATAGTTAGGAATTTGGGTTTAGGGATTGATTATGTATTTATTATTTAATTTATAGTTAGTTATTTAGTTAAGGATTTTGGGTATATCTACTAGTTTATAAATATCGGTATTTACTAGTGCGTGATACGTTGATTTTGATGACTTCATGAAGTTTCGTCAAATACTTATATTCCTAGTGAAGTTGTTTATGTTACAAGTGCGTGATATGTCTGTTAATGTTACTTTGAATATATACATGTGCTTTCATATTGTGTTCATATTGCATAACAAGTAGTTTAAATTTTGCAATGCTACATAATGTTAATTTGAATACTCTAACGCTTTGTTTATCAATTTGTAACAGGATGGCCCCATCCATGTAACACCCGTTGTACCTTATTCTTAGGTGGAGTACGATGACCAGCACTGAGCACATATCTTGAGTGACAACGACGCAGAGGTGGCCTTGCCTCCTTTGAGGTCCCGCACGCACACCAGGGCGCACCAGTGGGACGAGCGTTACGCGCCGTACATACGGCGTGCCGGCTTCCTCGAGCTTGTCCGTGTTGCCAACTCCGGTCTTCCGCATCTTGATCCAACACTACTTACTGCAGCTGTAGACAGGTGTGAGTGCATTCTTTGTACGTAAACTTTTTTGTAACAAATTTGAGGCAAGTAACAGTCCTATTCTTATAACAGGTGGAGGCCTGAGACCCACATGTTCCACCTACCTTGTGGCGAGATGACCTTGACCATGCAGGACGTGAAGGCTATTTTTGGCCTTCGGTTGGGGGGACTTCCAGTGACAGTGATAGTTGACAACGATCATTGGAGGGAGTTGGTGGCTCAGTTTACTGGCTTTCTTCTACCGGACGACGAGGCTTCCAAGAAAAATAAGTGAGAAATTGAAGCTTATTTAATACTTGCATTGCTTTCCTGCAGCCATCGGGTCTCATTTTGTTTGGTAAATTTCAGGAAAACTTCTGGTGTTTCGTCGTCCTGGATCATGGAGCGCTTTGATTACTTGGACCCACAGGCTGAGGAGGCTCAGATCGACAGGTTCGCTCGAGTTTGGCTCTGGCACTTTCTTGGTGCTTTCATCTTCCCAGACGCCTCGGGCAACACCATCAGCTGGATCTTCCTTGACATACTACGCCAACCGTGGGAGAACATAGCGGCGTACAGCTGGGGCAGCGTAGTCCTGGCATGGATGTATCGACAGCTATGCGTTGCCTGCCGTCGCACCTCAGTGTACGCAAACCTTGGGGGTTGCTCGTACCTACTCCAGGTTTGGTGTTGGGAACAATGGCCCGTTGGGAGACCCCTTAATACTAGTTTACCGGTAAGTACTTCGGTTTATTATATTCTTCGATATGGTTACATATGATGAGTTTATTAATGGCTAATTCATTATCGTGTTCAATGCAGCACTGGAACGGACATGATACACTCCCTACAGCTCTGTTTATCTGGACGGAATCAGAGTTAGCTAGAGGGAATGCGAGGCGCAAGTACATGGAGTACACGGACGGTCTCGACGTCCTGACACAGCACCAGGTTACGCTCTCTTTACTATCATACCTATGTCTTGTTAGATCTACACTATATCACAGCCTAACTCAATTACAAAATGTTCAGGTGCATTGGTGTCCTTGGGATGCTCCGGAGTTC